AAGGGAACCTCTCCAATCGTTACTCGAAAGTTCCCAGCCATGATTAAGATTATGCAATCTTACAAAAAGATTGTCTTTCTGTAAGAATTTAAATGGATCGAATGGTTGATGAGTTTTTTTAACTAAATCATCGCTGACTTCTTTAACAGTTCTTTGTCCGCTGTACGGAACACCTAGACCATGGTTTGCTCCTTTAATGCGCCAATCTTTACTCGTAGAAACATTAAATTCATTACAAATACGCTCATACGCGGACCTATCATAATTATTATTTGTGGAATTCCACGCTCGATCCTGCGGTAATGGAGCACTAATTTCTTTAAGTATACGTCTAATCTGATAATACACATGAAATAATAAAACAGACTTATTTAGCATAAATCCTGGGGCATTAACAGATACGCCACATCCCGTTGTGGCACACCATATGGCAAAGTTTAACTGATTCTGCCAAAATTGCATCGGATTGTGAAACCAATCGTGCACCATTTTATCGCTAGTTGCCGTGACCCTGTACTTTTCAAAGATATCGGGGAATTTAACGAAAAATTCAGCACCAGAGGCAGTTACTATAATCGATTGATTAGTAATGTATCTCGATTTCATATTTAAGTTATGATATAGTATCATTGTATATTTAATATGTATGTTACACTACCTGGAATAACAAATTGTCAGTCTATTGAACTGCTTCATACTATCGATAACTCGGATGGACAACTCGAAGTAGCTCTATGCGATGTAACGTATTACCCGCTGTGGACCAATATAAGTGCTGCAAAAAGGAATAATAAGATGATTATACCAGGTGAAAACAGGGGTAGGGAAAAACTCATTATTATACCTGATGGGTATTACAGCGTATGCTCACTCAATGATGAAAATTTTAAGTCTAATGGAATGAGTATCACACAAAATGAGTCGAATGGGACAGTGAAAATATACACTGGAAAAACAGGTATAATTATTGACGAGAACTTAGCAATTACACTTGGATTTGGACAGTCAGTAGTATTACCACCTAAAAAAACAGTGACTGTATATGCATTACCCGATTTAGTTCCCTATAAAGAGTTGTGCATCCATCTTGATCAGATCAGTACAACGGATAATATTCAACAAGAAAGTCCTTCAACTCTACTCAGATGTGTTCCAGTTAAAGATGAAAAATATAATAGTGGTAGAACGGAATCTTTCTCAACATTACAATATAAAAAATTAAAGCGTGGTATTATTTCAGACCTCAAAATTTCTGTATTAGATGTAAAACATCAACCTGTACATATAGGATACTTAAGTGTAACACTCCATATTAAAAATAATGGTTAATTCCATATTTAAGTTATGATATAGTATCATTGTATATTTGATATGTATGTTACACTCCTGGGAATAACAAATGGTCAGTCTATTCAACTGCTTCGTACTATCGATAACTCGGATGGACAACTCGAAGTCGCTCTATGCGATGTAACGTATTACCCACTGTGGACCAATATAAGTGCTGCGAAAATTAATAATAGGATACATATATTAGATGAAGATGCTCCTGACAAATACATTACTATACCTGATGGGTATTACAGCGCATGCTCACTCAATGATGAAATTTTTAAGCCTAATGGAATTAGTCTCTCACAAAATGAATCGAATGGGATGCTGAAAATCGACACTGGAGAAAATGGTGTAATTCTTATCCCATACTTAGGAATTACACTTGGATTTGAGCTTAAAATTATAAGTTCTAACGAAACACAACATGGAAATACATTGCCCGATTTAGTTCCCTATAAAGAGTTGTTCATCCATCTTGATCAAATAAGCACGACGGATAATATTCAACTAGAAAGTCCTTCAACTCTACTCAGAAGTGTTCCAGTGAAAAATGAAAAATATAATAGCGGTAGAACGGAATCATTCTCGTTATTACAATATAAAAAATTGAAGCGTGGTATTATTTCAGACCTCAAAATTTCTGTATTAGATGTAAAACATCAACCTGTACATATAGGATACTTAAGTGTAACACTCCATATTAAAAATAATGGTTGATGCATCAGGCCCTGGAACAGTAAGACAATGTAATACAATTGCGCTTTCCGATCTCGGAGACACAGAAGGATTTGATAAACCCGGTTACAATGGTAAGTTATACGCTTTACACTTACACGATAATGTATACAAGCGGAAAGAAGTCACATTCACGGGTAATCTAGGAGATTTAAGCGATGTCGATGTTAGTAGACTCCTTAAAAACACTTCGTACAATATTACTCGCAACGACGATAATAAATGGACTATGGTCGAAGCAAACATCGAGTGGCTACTGAATATCGTCATTACCCCACCTTATGTGATGATGGGTAAGGGACATAATTTAACTAAGATAATAAATAGTGGCATCGTACTCGCGGCTTATATCCCATCAAAACGAAAAAGTGTGTTGGTCACTCCCCTGCCAGAAAACCCAGGTCATATGTTATATAGTCGTCCGGCCTTAAAAAATGTTACTTTAAATTTGGTTACTGAATTCGAAGATATTAAAGATAACTTGAGTGCAATACCTAATCTTTCTACGCTTATTATTGAAGTCTTGTTCGGAGATGCACCGGAAGATGCCTTTGAAATATTACCAGGTCTATCGATTAAATGGCTAAAGAAACACCAACGTCAACGTTGCAGTATTATTCATATCGGAGCATCGCCCGTTGCAACCCTCGAGGGGGGTCCAAATTATTAAAAGTGACAGTATTTCTCTTTCTAAGATATTCTTGCCGTATAATATACATTTGATAAGATTGATGTATAGTCTCAAAACATTTAAGCAAGACCAATTAAAGACTATTATATGATCGTAATATACACTATGAGTTTATATCCGGCGCTCGGTGAAGCATTTGAAAAGATGGAAACTGTTGATGGATTTCGATTACATCAAATAAGCGACATAAAACATCGAATAGGGAAGGAGAGGGAGTTGAGACTTGGATTGTATAAAAAGTATCGCAGAGCCGTGAATGCTCTGGACGGAGTTGACACCGCTCTTGTAGTATCTGGTATGGGACTCGGTGTAGCGGGTATCGGTTTACTATCAACTATAATCGCCGCGCCTATCGTGCTTGGCATGGAAATAACCGCTGGAGTCTCGGGACTGGCAGGAATAGCGATAAAATTCATTTCTCGTAGGTTACAAAAGAAAGCATTAAAACACGATAGTATTCGGATACTCGCCGAAGCAAAGTTGAACAGCATTGAGAATCATATTTCGACAGCAATGGCCGATTGTAAGATATCCGAGGATGAGTTTCGTTTAGTGCTGTCGGAACTCACCAAATACAATAAAATGAAGCAGGAGATTCCATCAAAATCTCGTAAGACCAGTGGTATTAGCGAAGACGAGAAAAAAAAGTTCATAGAAGAGGGGAGGCAACAAGCGCGTCAATTATTCCGTGCCAAAACCAAAGAACTGGTTGGAGATTAAAAATAGATTGTTTACTATCGTGTGATTACATTTAGACAAATGCTAACATAAATATATAATAATGGAGAAAGCTATTCAATGGAAAGAATTACCACAAGGTTTTTATTATATCAGTGATGTCAAACAAACCAAATACGGTTATCAATTGTTTCTTATCAATTTACAAAAAGAGTGTAGTTATATAGTCTGGTCTCCTAGTAAAATGAACGAAGAACTTAATAAAAATGTTGAATATCGCTTTATCGATAAAAATAATAAAGAATATTTTTATTACCATTTAGACTCATCTAAAGCAATGATTGGCCCCAGGTATTGGTGAGCTAGAGCCAATTTAACTTAATCTTATGACTATCATTAAATCGCATCATCATTTTGGCATAAAAAATTCCTCCTGTAGTAGCAGTATAGGTATATGAATCCTGCTCCAGTGGAGTTGCGGCAGAACCCCCATTACCTATACTACTCAAGACTCCTTATGCCAGGATCTGAGAACATCTGTGAAACCTCCATAACACAAACCTTTGTAATTCCATAGGGCTAGGAGCTGATGGGACATGACAGTCCTCATCACCACAATGGTAACACTCTGCCTTGCTGGGACTACATACTTGACATACTGTCCACAGAATTTTTACCAGGCTCTAGTGCATACACTACTGGTCACCGACCAGTTATTGCCATTTTATTCATGTTATTTCTGAAATATTCTGTGTACAAAGTTAACAGTGCAAATAACTTTGGTTTGGGTGAAGCTATGAGCAAATGCTCATATTTCTGTCCATGGGAAAAAAATCAGTAGATTTGTTATAACGCGACAACAGGGAATCAAAACAGTGGAAGGTGAAATTTTCCGTCGACCAGCTGTTCCAGCTATCGCCATCAGCCGGCATGTATCACATGATCATGTGCACCGCTTCAGTTGTACAAATTACATTTTCTATTTTCTCTGGTAACGCCTTCAATTTTTATATTCATTACAATTAATAAGAAATGCTTTTATCAATTTGTCGCCTTCAAACTGACGTACACAAAGTTTAATTTACACTATCCTCAACACTATGGATTTCGTGATATATCGAGGGTTGTGCATTTTGGGGAAAATAGCTCAAATAGGTTTCAGAATTGTAATTTGGGAAGAAATTATGTAAGATTGTAAGCGATGACAGAACTGAATGTGCATCACTGTGTCTCTTCTGAAGTTGTATTTGAGTAAGGTTGGTAGTTTTCTTCATTATTTGTGTATAAATATTTCTCTCCTTGTAAAAGTAAAATGAGATGTGATCACGTGAGGGCTTTCTAATGGGATATTGGCTATAATGGATCATCGGCGATAACTGTTCGCTGGTGAGTAAGCACGACCCACGGTTTGGGTGACTGCTTGGTCGAAGACGTATGACCCTCTATTTCTGGAGTTATTCTAAGCAACTGGTCTTGGATGAATGAAACAAGGCCTATTGTTTACACTAGTAATGGGTAGTTGTACGAGGTGTTGAAGTGCGGATGTGGGAATGATCCTCACCTGGTAGTGCTTCAGTAGATGTTGTTCCTCCTCATCCTGGAACTGCTCGGCATACCCGTGCTGGTCCACAGACACGTTCCTACAATACACACAGTATCAATATACCCGTGCTGGTCCACAAACACGTTCCTACAACACACACAGTATCAATATACCCTTGCTGGTCCACAGACACAGTCCTACAACACACACAGTATCAATATACCCGTGCTGGTCCACAGACACGTTCCTACATCACGCACAGTATCAATATACCCTTGCTGGTCCACAGACACAGTCCTACAACACACACAGTATCAATATACCCGTGCTGGTCCACAGACACGTTCCTACAACAAACAAGGGTGAAATACTTTTCATGAGCTCCAGTTTGTGTGTCGCATCAAGGAAACAACATTGAAATTAACCAATGTGTGGGCTTACGATTGAACCAGCAACATTCAAAAGTCCAGTATTACTAGACACAACAAAATGACTTTATTGAGTAAATGATCAGATGAATCACCTAGTGAATAAAATAATGCAGAATAATGGTAGAATAGGTCTTCAGCAACCCATGCTAGCTGTAAAAGGTGAGTATGCTTGTCATAAGAGGCAACTAACGGTATTGGGTGGTCAGGCTCTCTGACTTGGTTGATAGATTGTGTGGATTGATGCTCATGATGTCAATCACTGGATTGTCTGGTCCAGACACGATTATTTACAAGACCACTCTCATATAGCTGGAATATTGCTGAGTGCAGCGTTAAACAACTAACAAACAAATAAAATAATGAAGTTGGCATGGTCCGAATTGCAAACAGAACGTTTTCAAACACTTGCAATCACTTGTCAGCGCAAGTTTCAATGCAATCCAAACACCACAACATAAATACAGAAATCCTATCCTGCAGTACTACTTGACAGACTGAAATACAGTTGAAAGAGGCATTCTTCTAATTTTGTCTAAAACAAAAACATTATTTCACTTTTTTTGAAATCTTAAAATGTTTATTCATCTTGGAAAAACCCAATAGATTGATGAATAGATGAGTGAAAAAATATTGGTTACCTAATGAAAAATGCAGTAACCCAACTAGAAACCTGCAAGTAAAAACTCAGTTGCTCAAAAAGTTATCTGGAGCTCTGAAATTTGCACTAGTCCAATAGTCCTTACCAAACTGTGCAATAGTTAATTAAGGTATCATAAGGACTAGATCTAGTAGAAATTTGCCATTTTTAAGGGTTTTGCTCTATGTTAACATTATAAGGACTAGTGGAGTAAAACTGTTAGTTTTCTAATGCTGTTAAGAGTAAGGGGTGTGTGGCAGGTAAAATGGGTCCAGGTGTGGGTCCAGGTGTGTACTTGGGGGAAATACTTCCTGCCTGTACCCCCCTCCAAAAGTTATATACAGTCAAGTCTCGTTAATCCGACACTCGTTAATCCGACAATCGGCTTTATCCGATGCTAATGATGGGAACCGATTAAATCAGTGCTAATTAGGCCCGTTTATCCGATAGTCTCGCACTCCGACTCCGACACACCTAATTTGCAACAAATTACCGAAATCACTCATAAATCAGTCTCGTTAATCCGACACAGTCATCAGCGTACTCCGTGGTCATCTGCCCACGAGTACACAGCCCCATGTTTTGATGCGAGACGAATCGGCTGGTAGCTGCATATTACAACGGCTGCAGAGATAAACTTGCTTAACAATAAACAATTATGCTTTAAATAAAAAGAAAACAGGATAAATCACATGCTTAGATTAACTCAATCCTATTAAAATAAGATACAAGTTCTCGCTCACAACGAGGACATCCCATTACAGGTCACGTCAGAACAACCTTTCGTGATCTATGACCTACCAATGAAATGACCAACAGGAAGTCGACGTTAACCACTTAGAAAGCGGCTTTCTTAAGCTTTAGGTACCAGTTTCAAAGTTGCGACTTCCATTCCAGACTATGCTTTTTAAAGTATTTTGAATAAGTCATACAGTCCGTAACAGTTGTTTTGTGTTAAACTTTAGAAGTTGCATGATTAGAAAACATATTCCGCCAACAATGTAACATAACAATATGAATATTAATTTTATTTTTTTTATTACGTGTTTGAATCCTTATATCTATCGTGTAGTTGTCCGATTTTCGATCACGAACGTTGATACTACTTTATTTCGTGTATCCGACATACTCGTTAATCCGACATAATCATATGCAACCATCAATGTCAGATTAACGGGACTTGATGGTAAGTGTGCACTGCTGCGCATTCCTTTTAATCACATACAGTCAAGTCCTATTAATCCAAAATGGTTGGTTGCATATGATTATGTCGGATTAACAAGTATGTCGGATAAACGAAATTAAGTAGTATCAACGTTCGTGATCGAAAATCGGACAACTGATATAAGGATTCAAACACGTAATAAAAAATAAAAAATAAATATTCATATTGTTATGTTGCAAGGGTGTTACTAGAATATGTTTTCTAATGATGCAAGCTCTAAAGCTTAGCACAAAACAACTGTTACTTATGACTTATGCAAAATACTTTAAAAAGCATAGGCTGCAATGGAAGTCGGCTGTTTGAAACTGGTACCGAAAGGTTGTCCTGACTTGACCTGTAATGAGATGTCCACGGTAATAGCGAGAACTTGTATCTGATTTTAATGAGATTGAGGTAATCTAAGCATGTGACTAATCCTGTTTTCTTTATTTAAAACATTAATTGTTTATTGTTAAGCAAGTTTAACACTGCAGTCGCTGTAATATGCAGCTACCATCTGACTCGTCTCGCATCAAAACACGGGCTGTGTACTCGCAGGCAGATGACCAAGGAGTACGCTGATCACTGTGTTGGATAAACAAGACTGATTAATGAGTGATTTCGGTAATTCGTTGCAAATTAGGTGTGTCGGAGTCAGAGTGCGAGACTGTCGGATAAACGGGTCTAAATAGCACTGATTTATCGGTTCCCATCAGTAGTGTCGGATAAAGCTGATTGTCGGAATAACGAGACTTGACTGTATATTTTTAAGGGGGGGTACGGGCAGAAGTCATACCACTGACAAAAAAACATCAATTGCTATTTCCTATTAAGATTTGTTGCTGTTTACTTTTGGAATAAATGTGTTGTCATTTTAGGTATTTGTGCCTAACGTTTCGTTTCTGAATTCTAGGTAACCGAAATCTGCTATCTGTACTGGGTGTTGGATGTTCGATGAGTCGATGAGAAGGGGCGTTTTTAAGGTTTGCAAAGAAATGATCGAAAAACATATACTGCATATAGAAATGTACCTTTTATAGGGTGGAAGGTGATTTGGAAAGTCATTCTCCTGCACTCCATGTACTCTTCCAGTGAGTGGATTAAAATCACGACCGCCAGTGAAACTTCGTGGTACAGACTGTATCGTGGACTTCTTCTTTGTCGACTCTTTTCCTATCTTGAACCAGTCGTCAATGTCATCCAGCGTAATTTCAGTTGTTAATCTGCTCATTTTGACAAAACTCTACCAACTTTCAGTCTATGAAGTGTCAACACGGTTTCGGATATTGCGCCAAGTGGAGCTGGCCACCGTGAGTTTCGCACCCAGGGGTCGTCTCAAAAATTGCAGCAACACGGATATGGCACCAAGTAGAGCTGGCTGCCGTAAGTTTCGCACCCAGGGGTCGTCTGAAAACAAACATTTTCTGATAAAGATCTTTTCAACATTAAATTTTATTTTACGTTAGCATTCTCAAACAGAATTGTCAATATAATTTGACACTTGCATTGACAACAAGACTTAATCTAGAAGATGTCATTAGCTCTATACATAAAAATGTTACAGCCCACATATATAGACCGAAAAACAAACAAAACGTTTGGTAACTTTGCCTAGCCTACATAGACTCAAGGTACATACACAAAATATTAGCACCTGTTGATTTGATGATTATTATTTCGGTTCGTGGTATCTGTAGAGGAGTCATTCATATAAAATTTTACTTTAAGGAAGAGAATTTCTTGATGTCAACTTCTTTATTATGAGAAGACCCGTGAAGATTCCGGGCTGGAATAGTTCTTCAGCAACCCATGCTTGCCGTAAAAGGCGACTATGCTTGTCGTACGAGGCGACTAACGGTATCGGGTGGTCAGGCTCGCTGACTTGGTTGATGCATGTCATCGATCCCAACTCCGTGGATCAATCCTCTTGAGGGGTCACGGGTGGCCCAGTCGTCTAAGGCGCCGCGATTCGCTGTGCAGAGTTGCGTCCCTTAGGCACGCCAGAAACCTATGATTGTGGGTTCGAATCCCGGTTCGCCCCGATTATGTTTCTAGGTTTGTCAGCACCATACCCGTGCTCGTGGGTTTCACCGAAGTGGTAAACGTCTGAGACCTGCATCACTTCGGGCTTTCCTCCCACATTAAGCTGACACGCCGTGATATAACTGGAATACTGTTAAAAGCGGCGTTAAACCCAACTCAAATAAAAAAGACCAATCCTCTTGATCTGCTCAACGGCTTCCTTAAGATCACTCACATCCAACAGAGCGATATGGTTATATCCTGTGGTTTGAACAGATAGTGTTTTCATTTGCCTGTCGCAAATGAATAATGTGTAATCGATGGCGAGTGATAATTGGGCGTTGTATGCCATGGAGAAACTTTTCTGTTGGAAACTGTCAATTTCGGACAGGAAGTAGATGACAATATCCTTCACTTGAGAGATACATTAAAGTCTAAAATCTGATTACTCAGACCTTGAGGATCATTGCCAATTTGAAACCTGAAATTCGATGTAGTATCATCAAAGATTAGTGTGATCGCCATGATTCGCAAATTCACTCTTTTGAAAGAAACTTCCCTAAATCTTATTTAAAATATACGCAAAACTTATTATTATGCATGAGTCGAGAAGAAAGTCACCTTGTCGCCATCCATCTCAAATATATGAGAAAGTGTACAGATGTAATGTATTGCTTGTCTCAAGTTCTAGGGTGTGGATGCAATGTCAAGATCCTTTCGACAGCAGGGAGCAGCAATCAGCTTCAAATTCGCAACATTTCGGAAAACACAGACGTTTATTTACACGAACAAATAGGTTTAACACAGTATACCCAATATAGCAACAAAAAAACAACCAACAAAAAACAAAACATATGACATATAGGCTTCAGTGCTTTGTCGCCCGATATTCTATACGGGTCTTGAAAGCTGCAGGCTTACCAGTTGGCAAATGTCAATCATGTTGTGTATACATATGTACATACAATAGGCGTGGGACACTCGGCACACTCGTTACAGAGAGCATATTAAATTTGTGATTTTAGGAACAGACTAGGGGCTTTGCTAAGCATTACGAGAGTTGTTTTTCACAAAGAAAGTATCATATAACGTTTTCACTTATTTATCCTGTAATATAATCATGGAGTGTCTCTCTCTGTGTCTGTGTGTGTGTGTGGTCGTTTTTCAAGACATCCATCAAAACTTGAACTTTTTTTATGCAATTAGAGAGGCCACATACATTTCAGCAAGAGCGGTGTGTGTGTGTGTGTGTGTGTGTGTGTGTGTGTGTGTGTGTGTGTGTGTGTGTGCGTATTTTCCGAAGGATCGTACAAGACTCGGGTTTGTAACCACCATATTCAACCTCAGATCAAAAACATTACTTCGTGAACTTGCGTCCTCTGAGGAAAATCTGTTGTTGTTTATCATTTTTATTATGATTTAAAAAAAAAATTCATTATGTTTGTTTTATCTTCATACATTTTATTTGAAAACATGGTTGGAAGGGAGATCATTCCTAAGTACGATTTGCGAGGTGTAGATGTACCCCCCCACCCCCACCCCCCTCACACCACACCCCCATCCCCCCCCCCAACAACAACAACAACAAAACAAAAACAAAAAAAACAAGAAAAAAAGAATTGATAAATTCAAAAGTGATATGAGTTTCCATGTTGATAACGATTTCATTCGACAAGTAATGGGAAGAGCACGTGGGTACTATTTAAAATGGGAATGTGTAGTGGATAAATCACTGATCGCAACTGACTTTCGAACTAAAGAAATTTGTAAATATCAAGGAACCAATCGAATTTTTAATCAAAATTCTAACCAACCCGTGGCAATTGTTCCCTCAATGAATGATATATCTATAGAAGAAACTTCAAGACTACCTCGACAATAATGTAAACAACATCAGCAACCGACAGTATGGGAAACATATGATGGATCCAGCATATGGGGAAGGCTCATGCCACTGATCGGCACATTTGCCAGTAAAAAGTGTCAGTGATCTGACCCCCATCTCTGTGTTATTGTTTATATCCCCCTTCAGCAACAGCTGTGTTGTGGCGAGACTGTCCTTTATCTGATGGAACCGGGGGTCAGGAGACATAGACTTACACTGGCTTTTCCCAAAGCATTAATAACATTTTTGTGTCTTATTATTGTACTTATTCACATGCTACATTATTTGTCTAGTGCATACTAGGTAGTATATATGACCCTGTTCATATAATATTTTTGTTTCGAAAGTAAATACCGTAAGAGGAGTTTGACCAAGAAAGTCTATACTGTGAGTGAGTATGGTTTTACGCCGCTTTTAGCAATATTCCGGCAATATCACGGCGGGGGACACCAGAAATGGGCTTCACACATTGTACCCATGTCGGGAATCGAACCCGGGTCTTCGGCGTGACGAGCGAACGTTTTAACCACTAGGCTACCCGACCCGCCCCAAGTCTATACTGTGGGGGGTTTATAGTTAAATTGAACACTTTTAAAAATATTCTCCAAACAGTTAAGAGCTCCTGAATTATGTTTCCATTAATATCCCCACCACCAACCCTTCTCGCCACCTACAGTCAAGTCTCGTTAATCCGACATCGTTGGTTGCACATGATTGTGTCGGATTAACGAGTATGTCGGATAAACGAAATTAAGTGATTTGTGATCGAAAATCGGACGTCTTCACGATAGATAATAACCGTGTGTACCTTGTAATAAAATCATTAAAAACGAAATATTAATATTGTTATGTTGTTTATTCATTCATTCCTTATTTTATAATTAATGACTGTGCAAAAATAATAATAATTTTCCCATTTATACATAACAATAGAGACATTACTCACTGAATTTATCACATGATCAACGACACACGTTTCCCCGTGTAAATGCAAGTGCTACTGTCTTAACAACTTGCTTCATCTACTTAAAATGGTCTGTCAGTGTTTTCTGTTTCTAACATTTTGAAGGCACATTTCTCAAAGTGATTTCGGCAATTCGTTGCAAATTAGGTGTGTCGGAGTCGGAGTGCGAGAATGTCGGATTAACGGGACTAAATAGCACTGAATCAATCGGTTCCCATCATTTGTGTCGGATAAAGCCGAGTGTCGGATTAACGTGTGTCGGATTAACGAGACTTGACTGTATATTTATGTACATTTTAGTTCACTTTTCTGTTTCAGCATGCATGTTCCAGTGTTTTTCTATTGAATTCAATTATGCGTTTTTATTCTATTTCTCCATTCTGGGTCATCCTAAATAAGAACACACACCCCGCCGGCTGCTCAACGCCAGTCTCCCGTCAACACGTCAAGGCCAAATGATGACAGCACTTTTGTAATCTGATACCACATCTCCAAATAAAAGACTGCAGCGCGGCCCCCGGAACAAATCCCTTCAGTGAAGGTTCACAGGAACTGATAAAGACGAGGACGGCTGGATAAGTAATTTGCAAGCTGTCTCTTTCTTTACTTCCGGCTGGTAATGCATTTACATTATACAATATCATCTTCAATTAGTTCCACCTATTATATCACCAAGCGTGCCAAATTAAACAGGTAAAGTAGCCATATAGATTGTAAAGATATATATCAGTGTGTTCTTGTGTTAAAATGCATTTGTTTCTCATCAGATAATCTTATCAGTTAACCACAACACATTGGTAAAGAAATATATTTCCAAGGGTAAACACGATTATCTTAGTAATACAGTCAAGAAAATTACAGTCACATCATATGCTTCTTCTGCATAACTCCCAACCTGTAAAATTGATGTTATGCATGATGCTCTATAACCTGTCTTGGAAACTATAAAGCTTCCCTCAAACACGGGAGGATATCTATACAAACGTCCCTATGGAAATAGCCTGAAAACTTCGTGGCACGCTGGGAGCCTCGCATGTTTCGCATGGAAATAATTTAAAATACGGGTTAGAAATATTATTATCTCTTTCTTCAACCAGTTAGGCATAAAATAACTTTAAAATAGTCGCTCTATATCCTGTCTCGGAAACTATATAGCTTCCCTTTACCACAGGGGGTTGTCTATGCAAACGTCCCTATGGAAATAGCCTGAAAACTTGGTGGCACATCTGGGAGCCCTGCATGAAACAATGATATGAAATACTTGTAATATCCCAAAATGTATTATTAAAATACGTTTTTAAAAAAATATGGTCTATCAATAAAAAAAAATTAAACTCTTACCTTCACACAGAAAATATATCTCTCCCAAATTGAGACAAAAAAGTCCTGTGGTATGGAGAATAAGCACAATGTTCATTCATGAACCAAGAGAGACCAAATGCAGGTCACAACACTGTTATTTATAGGGTAAATAGGTGTTGACATATCTGTACACTGTGTGCTGCGCAAAAAACAGGAGTATTCAAATTACAGTTGGGCTCGAGTAACGGTAACTAGAGACGGTCTCAGAAACGCCATTGTTTTTTAAGTATTCCCTTACACAACGGTCGTGTTTACACAAGCGTTTCCTTTCAACTGTGCTTGGGGGGGGGGGGGGGGGGGGGGGGGGGGGGAGCATGGTAAAAACTTTTTAACTTGTTCAGTGTGTCTAAAACGTTCTTCTTTAATAAAATTAAAACCACTGGCTTATTTATCGATATTACACATACGGGTTATGGGTCGCTCTTTTTAGATTTGATTTTTGGGTTAGGTAGTATGTAACCCAGACACGAACTGAGCAATGCGGTCCACATGTTGGAATTGGTTTGGTTTAGACTCAAATTCACTATGCAAGTTATCACAACGATATAAATGATAACAATTTGATGGATGTGTCCACTGCTGACACCTACTGCTGTCTACTGCAGCCGGTAACCAGCCTGTCACTAGACTCTAACTAGCCTGTAACCAACATGTACCTAGTCGGTAACCAGCCTGTAACTAGACTCTAACCAACATGTACCTAGTCGGTAACTAGACTGTAACTAGCCTGTAACTAGACTGTAACTAGACTGTAACTAGCCCGTAACCAGCATGTACCTAGTCGGTAACCAGCCTGTAACTAGACTCTAACCAACATGTACCTAGTCGGTAACCAGCCTGTAACTAGACTGTAACTAGCCTGTAACCAGCATGTACCTAGTCGGTAACCAGCCTGTAACTAGACTGTAACTAGCCGGTAACCAGCATGTACCTAGTCGGTAACCAGCCTGTAACTAGACTGTAACTAGCCGGTAACCAGCATGTACCTAGTCGGTAACCAGCCTGTAACTAGACTGTAACTAGCCTGTAACCAGCATGTACCTAGTCGGTAACCAGCCTGTAACTAGACTGTAACTAGACTGTAACTAGCCTGTAACTAGCCTGTACCTAGTCGGTAACCAGCCTGTAACTAGACTCTAACTAGCCTGTAACCAACATGTACCTAGTCGGTAACCAGCCTGTAACTAGACTGTAACTAGCCTGTAACCAACATGTACCTAGTCGGTAACCAGCCTGTAACTAGACTCTAACCAACATGTACCTAGTCGGTAACCAGCCTGTAACTAGCCCGTAACCAGCATGTACCTAGTCGGTAACCAGCCTGTAACTAGACTGTAACTAGCCTGTAACCAGCATGTACCTAGTCGGTAACCAGCCTGTAACTAGACTCTAACTAGCCTGTAACCAACATGTACCTAGTCGGTAACCAGCCTGTAACTAGACTGTAACTAGCCTGTAACCAGCATGTACCTAGTCGGTAACCAGCCTGTAACTAGACTGTAACTAGCCTGTAACCAGCATGTACCTAGTCGGTAACCAGCCTGTAACTAGACTGTAACTAGCCTGTAACCAACATGTACCTAGTCGGTAACCAGCCTGTAACTAGACTGTAACCAACATGTACCTAGTCGGTAACCAGCCTGTAACTAGCCCGTAACCAGCATGTACCTAGTCGGTAACCAGCCTGTAACTAGACTGTAACTAGCCTGTAACCAGCATGTACCTAGTCGGTAACCAGCCTGTAACTAGACTCTAACTAGCCTGTAACCAACATGTACCTAGTCGGTAACCAGCCTGTAACTAGACTGTAACTAGCCTGTAACCAGCATGTACCTAGTCGGTAACCAGCCTGTAACTAGACTGTAACTAGCCGGTAACCAGCATGTACCTAGTCGGTAACCAGCCTGTAACTAGACTGTAACTAGCCGGTAACCAGCATGTACCTAGTCGGTAACCAGCCTGTAACTAGACTGTAACTAGCCTGTAACCAGCATGTACCTAGTCGGTAACCAGCCTGTAACTAGACTGTAACTAGACTGTAACTAGCCTGTAACTAGCCTGTACCTAGTCGGTAACCAGCCTGTAACTAGACTCTAACTAGCCTGTAACCAACATGTACCTAGTCGGTAACCAGCCTGTAACTAGACTGTAACTAGCCTGTAACCAACATGTACCTAGTCGGTAACCAGCCTGTAACTAGACTCTAACCAACATGTACCTAGTCGGTAACCAGCCTGTAACTAGCCCGTAACCAGCATGTACCTAGTCGGTAACCAGCCTGTAACTAGACTGTAACTAGCCTGTAACCAGCATGTACCTAGTCGGTAACCAGCCTGTAACTAGACTCTAACTAGCCTGTAACCAACATGTACCTAGTCGGTAACCAGCCTGTAACTAGACTGTAACTAGCCTGTAACCAGCATGTACCTAGTCGGTAACCAGCCTGTAACTAGACTGTAACTAGCCTGTAACCAGCATGTACCTAGTCGGTAACCAGCCTGTAACTAGACTGTAACTAGCCTGTAACCAACATGTACCTAGTCGGTAACCAGCCTGTAACTAGACTGTAACCAACATGTACCTAGTCGGTAACCAGCCTGTAACTAGCCCGTAACCAGCATGTACCTAGTCGGTAACCAGCCTGTAACTAGACTGTAACTAGCCTGTAACCAGCATGTACCTAGTCGGTAACCAGCCTGTAACTAGACTCTAACTAGCCTGTAACCAACATGTACCTAGTCGGTAACCAGCCTGTAACTAGACTGTAACTAGCCTGTAACCAGCATGTACCTAGTCGGTAACCAGCCTGTAACTAGACTGTAACTAGCCTGTAACCAGCATGTACCTAGTCGGTAACCAGCCTGTAACTAGACTGTAACAAGCCTGTAACTAGCCTGTACCTAGTCGGTAACCAGCCTGTAACTAGACTGTAACCAACATGTACCTAGTCGGTAACCAGCCTGTAACTAGACTGTAACCAACATGTACCTAGTCGGTAACCAGCCTGTAACTAGCCCGTAACCAGCATGTACCTAGTCGGTAACCAGCCTGTAACTAGACTGTAACTAGCCTGTAACCAGCATGTACCTAGTCGGTAACCAGCCTGTAACTAGACTGTAACTAGCCTGTAACCAGCATGTACCTAGTCGGTAACCAGCCTGTAACTAGACTGTACCTAGCCTGTAACCAGCATGTACCTAGTCGGTAACCAGCCTGTAACTAGACTCTAACTAGCCTGTAACCAACATGTACCTAGTCGGTAACCAGCCTGTAACTAGACTGTAACTAGCCTGTAACCAGCATGTACCTAGTCGGTAACCAGCCTGTAACTAGACTGTAACTAGCCTGTAACCAGCATGTACCTAGTCGGTAACCAGCCTGTAACTAGACTGTAACAAGCCTGTAACTAGCCTGTACCTAGTCGGTAACCAGCCTGTAACTAGACTGTAACCAACATGTACCTAGTCGGTAACCAGCCTGTAACTAGACTGTAACCAACATGTACCTAGTCGGTAACCAGCCTGTAACTAGCCCGTAACCAGCATGTACCTAGTCGGTAACCAGCCTGTAACTAGACTGTAACTAGCCTGTAACCAGCATGTACCTAGTCGGTAACCAGCCTGTAACTAGACTGTAACAAGCCTGTAACTAGCCTGTACCTAGTCGGTAACCAGCCTGTAACTAGACTGTAACTAGCCTGTAACCAGCATGTACCTAGTCGGTAACCAGCATGTAACTAGACTGTAACAAGCCTGTAACTAGCCTGTACCTAGTCGGTAACCAGCCTGTAACTAGACTGTAACTAGCCTGTAACCAGCATGTACCTAGTCGGTAACCAGCCTGTAACTAGACTGTAACTAGACTGTAACTAGCCTGTAACCAGCATGTACCTAGTCGGTAACCAGCCTGTAACTAGACTGTAACAAGCCTGTAACTAGCCTGTACCTAGTCGGTAACCAGCCTGTAACTAGACTCTAACTAGCCTGTAACCAACATGTACCTAGTCGGTAACCAGCCTGTAACTAGACTGTAACTAGCCTGTAACCAGCATGTACCTAGTCGGTAACCAGCCTGTAACTAGACTGTAACTAGCCTGTAACCAGCATGTACCTAGTCGGTAACCAGCCTGTAACTAGACTGTAACTAGCCTGTAACTAGCCTGTAACCAGCATGTACCTAGTCGGTAACCAGCCTGTAACTAGACTGTAACTAGCCTGTAACCAACATGTACCTAGTCGGTAACCAGCCTGTAACTAGACTGTAACCAACATGTACCTAGTCGGTAACCAGCCTGTAACTAGCCTGTAACCAACATGTACCTAGTCGGTAACCAGCCTGTAACTAGACTCTAACTAGCCTGTAACCAACATGTACCTAGTCGGTAACCAGCCTGTAACTAGACTGTAACTAGCCTGTAACCAGCATGTACCTAGTCGGTAACCAGCCTGTAACTAGACTCTAACTAGCCTGTAACCAGCATGTACCTAGTCGGTAACCAGCCTGTAACTAGACTCTAACTAGCCTGTAACCAACATGTACCTAGTCGGTAACCAGCCTGTAACTAGACTGTACCTAGCCTGTAACCAGCATGTACCTAGTCGGTAACCAGCCTGTAACTAGACTGTAACAAGCCTGTAACTAGCCTGTACCTAGCCGGTAACCAGCATGTAACTAGACTGTAACTAGCCTGTAACTAGCCTGTACCTAGCCGGTAACCAGCATGTACCTAGACTGTAGCCAGCATGTACCTAGCCGGTAACCAGCTTGTAACTAGACTGTAACTAGCCTGTACCTAGCCGGTAACCAGCCTGTAACTAGACTGTAACCAGCCTGTAACCAACATGTACCTAGTCGGTAACCAGCCTGTAACTAGACTGTAACTAGACTGTAACCAGCCTGTAACCAACATGTACCTAGTCGGTAACCAGCTTGTAACTAGACTGTAACTAGCCTGTACCTAGCCGGTAACCAGCCTGTAACTAGACTGTAACCAGCCTGTAACTAGCCTGTACCTAGTCAATATTATGTACAATATCATTACGCATACCG